ACGCACACACACGTACACATACATATATACAAGGCAGACAACCTTTCTCTTGTTCCCCTGATGGGGCTTTTCCCATACCATGAGAGTTTGTTTGTTCAGCCTGAGGAACCAGAAGTGTTATGATACATGGTTTCAAGTCTGATATGCTTCATCCACGCCACTAAAGGTCCACTGAAGGTCCACTGAAGCACTTCACCACATACATACCACGTTTCAAGGTCTGTGCACACTTTTTCCATCGTTTCAACTGACAGACGCAGACCTTTCATTGCCAGGACCTTCCCAGTGGCCTTTTGAGGATTGGTAAGTGACCTTTTCAAGGCCTATAGGAATCTCAAAAGGCCGCTGGGAAGGTCCTGGTGCATGACACCGCACGCCTGGCTCGCGATTGTGGTTGTCATGGCGTGGCATGGGTGGCACTGCTGGTTAGACGATGGTGACGAAGAGTCATGGGGGAAGTGGGAGGACAGCTTCACTGTTGCTTCACTGTTGCATGTTTCGCCCAAAAGAAATTTCGCGCATTTATATTTGCATTCCGCAGGCCGGTGCACAGGAACCTGCGCTGCCGCCGCCGAAGGCACCGCCGTTCCCACCGGAACCTCCGCTGCCGCCGCCGCCGCTGGTGGACATGTGCACGGCGCCGAAGACGCCACCACGCTTTGTGTTTTGGCTCGTGTTTTAAGCAGCAATCATCGTAATGTTCATGAATGTGTCAGACTGTCATCACGACAGGGTGGGTCTTTGTATAAGGATCCCAGCGAAGCCGATGTGGTGGTGGTCAAGGAAGATATCAAGCCCGCTGATGCAGCTTGGCGTCAGCGATTAAGCATTGTATTTAACACGCCATCACTTTTGTAGTTTGTTCGTCATTGTTGGGATTGATGATACACATTGACAAAGGTACACTGTCCAATGATGCCTCCAAAGCTTAATGAAGCCGTACCCGGAAACTTTCCAATCATTCCATCATGGATGATGAGGGTCATTGAAGACAACGGTGCATGGGTTGCTCGGTCACAATGTAGCTAAACGTGATACATTGTAATTGTAGTTATGAAACATATATAACATGTTGCGCCCAAGGAGGTGCCATCAACATCATCTCGTCGGCCCGCCCCCATATCGGTGCCTCCACCTTGGCGGCAGCCTGCTCCTTGGTCGCAGAGCATTAGAAAGACTACACTTATTCAAGCCAGTGCCTGAGGAATATCCGGTGTAGGCAATCTCTTGAACCCAAGGCTGTCAAGGCGAAGCCTGGACCCAAGACTGTCAAGGCGAAGCCGATGCCAAAGAAGCGTGACTCTGAAGGCATGCCGATTGAGGCCGTCATGGAAAGATGCTCACTTCCCATTGCTCAAACCTTTGTTCAAACTTGTCGGCAGGAGGCTCGAGTCATGATGAAGGACATGGCAATGGAGGCGTTTCGCAATCAGCATTCTTTTTACCTTGAACTCTCCATGTTTATGGTATCACGCATTGCTTGTGTAATCTGTTGCAGCGCTCCATCGAGCGGGCCATGGACAACATGGAGGAGACGCAGGTGGCCAAGCAGCGGAAGGCGAAGGCCACTCCGGCTGGCTACAGCTGGCTGCCGGCGTTCAGGATGGTGTATGGTGAGGCGCGGGCCACAGCAAAACCTGCGCGCAAAGATACATGTTTGTGTATCCTTTTCACTTCGCATTCCAGGATGCGCCGCTGCCAGAAAGGCTGACGCCGGCCTTCCTGCAGGATTTGGCGTGGAGGGCCGCCACCATGGAGGCTTCACAAGCCAAGGCACATAGTGCATTGCGGCGTTGTGATGTGAGGTCAGGTGTCACTGTATGTTGTGAGTTGCAAAGTGCGCTTGAACACAATGTCTCTGCAGGAGGCGCCGAGCTTGACATGTCAGCCTTCAGAGGTGGCGGAGGACTGATAGACGCATTTCGCATAGTGTCAGCACACGTCAATATACAATGTCTGATATTCAACAGTTTATGTCTGATAAACAATGTCTGATATTCAGAACCTTTATATGGTTGCCAGTTTCAACTCCTGCATGCTTCAGGCGCCCATTGTGACCCACATCGAATGGCATGGCAGCAAGAAGGCAACCTGACAGCAAGAGCCATGTGATCCAACGTGCCACGGTCAATGCATGCGTTGGTGAGTGGTTTGGAGCTTGTCACATGTCCATGCTTTCAGGAAGTGTGGCGCGATGATGGCACGGTGTGCGTGGACGGCAAGGTGCTGCAGCAGTGCAACATCGAGCAGTACCGGGATCAAGGGTCGACAAGAACCCGGGCGAGGACCCGGGGCGGCGCCCAAATCCGCGCCAAGGCTCCTCGATCGCATTTAGAGACAACATTCATGTTGATGTGATAGATTTGTATTGTAGCATTTGTTCAGCATATAGTGTTTGCTGGAATCTATGGCCTGTGACTGAGGAGGCATTTGCTGAGCTCCATGAGGTGCATGAAGGGGCAACTCATCTGGATTTAGTTGAGATTGTTGGGCCATTTTCAAAAAATGTTTACTGCTTACTTGATTGTTGCAGTGCATTTACAGTACAGTTTTGCGCGTAACTGTAACTCAAACAATTGCCTTTCAGAGCGGTTCACCGACGCTGAGGCGACATCCTCCTCGAGCGGCATGTCCCCAGATGAGAGGCGCAGCACCATCCAGGCGGTGCAGGACATGGCAGCAACGTTGAAGCACGCTGTGAAAAGGTGAATAAGAAGGTAAAGGTAAAGGTAAACGGTGAGTAGAAAGGTAATAGCAACGTTGAAGGTACTTAAAGTGTCAGATCTATATAATGTACTTGAAGGGTCAAGTCTAATGTCTCTCTAAAGGGGCCACCTGTACTTAATGGCTCATCATGATTGCTTCCTTCAACAGCTGCCGCGCGGATGCCGATATAAAGGGTCGAGCGCGGACTGTGCCATACATATACCCATGGCTCCTGCATACATGCGTATTATATGCCTTCAATGCATGTGGCGCTCGATCCTGGGGCCGGAATTGTGTGGAGGTTCAGGTGTCGCGAGGGTACTCACCACCAAATCTGAATTCAACAAACACATTTTTCGCGGCATCTGAGCGCAGCACGCTGGCGAATACGCCATGGAAGGCGCACTACAAAAAAACATCAAAAAAACTAAAAATGCACGGCTGTGCCACATCCATAGGCAGGTTGCATGGCCTGGGCATGTCAACTCTCTTGTTTGTTGGATCAGCGCAGGCATGTCAGCGAATTTGTTCATGTGGATGTGAGACAACCTCGCAATCAAGGTTGTTCCAACATATTGTTTCAGGTGGACGCCCAGGTCAGCACATGCCTGTGGTCGGGTGGGATTACATGGCTTCACATGCTACTGCTGTGAATGTTGTGTCTAAAGTGTGGTCGAAAACTACTGCAATGGTTCTATCTTTGTGCTTGGCGCCATGTAATCCCACCAGGTGCATAATTAGCTCTTATAGTAGCATAAACGTTGCTCCTCCACTGCAGAGTGTTGAGAAAAACTGGACACCGACATGCATGGGATTGGAAAGCAGGGCTGGACCATGCGTATGCTTTTGCATTGCAGGTCACACAAGGTTGCTACCGTATTGCAATTGCAAGCGACTGCCAGGTTTTCACGCGTGTGTTCATCATCTTTATCTACGCGATGAGTTTCTTGGCGTGCATGAATGTATCGGTGTGAAGTCAGTCTCGTATCACCTATTGCTGGGATGACCTGTTAGACTGTGACGTCGTCACGCAGCGGCAGCCAAGGCTCAACATTTGCTTCTTGCTGCAAGTCAGCATCTCAGCATGCCGTGCGAGCCAAGGCCCAACACACTGGGATGCAGTCACTGTTTGGGCAGAATGTTGCAACTTAATGAAAAGATGCAACCATGGCTATAGTCACTGTTTGGCGCAAAGCGTTTCCATTGCCATCAAGTCTCAGTCATATCCATTGACCTCATCCACGCAGGTGAATCTCTCCTGAAGTTGATTGTAGAAGCGGCAACGCCTCCGTGTCACTGCTGAAGATCGCGCAGTGCAAATTCAAGCCCAGCTGCGCAGCAACATGTTATTATAAGTGTGCTATCCATTGAGGCAGTCATTGAAGAGCGTGATATGCCTGCAGCATGCTGTGCATGTTTGCACGCGTGCTTACCACTGCAGCCATTTTGCATTCAGTGAAATTCGGCGAGTGTCCACGACACAACCCAATGGCTTCCTCTGGCTCCAAGGCGACAAAGGGGGATATGTTCATCGATGATCTGACACACATACAGAGCTTCCTGAGCACACAGAAGCGCACCGTGAAGAAAGAAGCGTTCAAAAAGATGCTAGACAACCAAGTTGGTTCTTGGGTCGCAAGAATCAACAATACCAACATCCAACCAGCAGAAGCTGCAACCATAGGAGAGTTGCTGGGTGAGGGTCCATGGTTTGATGAGCACCATGAGCTTCTGTCAGATGCTCTAGCATCTAAAATGGCAGGAGCCGCATCTGGCGACAGTTCCACACAGAGACGACCACTTCAGACCTTGAATTGCTTCGCTTCCTATTTGACCGAGAGTGATTTGAAGCTCTTGTCAGACCCAGAAGTTCACAACGTCAACAAGGTCCAAAAGTTGGTCGCCAAGTGTGTAGCTTTGGGACTTCACTTGCCCAAAGAGACCACCACCAAACAGATCATCAAAACAGCTATCGACTGTGCCTTGGATGATTTTCATATCTACAGTTCGCATCAATTGTGTGTGTGTCATGCATTGCTTTTTTCGCAACTGGTGCTTCTAATTGTTGTTGCCAACTTGCATCCTGCATATTGTCTTGTTCATAGCTGTATAATTGAGGCGGCATGAAGGTGGCGCCTGGACCGGAGACGTTGAGGATTGTGAACGAGTTCAAGCAGCAGTTAAAGAGCAAAGTCAAACACCTGGCAAAGGTGCCTTTGCCAGAGAAGTTTCCTGATGACCCTGCCAATCTCCCCAAGGATGTGTTCAATAGGGTCTTTGAAGACGAGCAGCCATCTCCGCCCAGGCAGAACTGTGCAGGAGCAGAATCGGCAATAGTGGTCGCCAGAAAGTCACATGCTTCGGTGAAGAAGGCGTTGCCCTTCCAGGACAACAACCCCATGGCTGCTATGATGAGCCAAATGAACCAAATGATGCAGCCAAACAGTGGTAGCGGTGGAAGTGGTGGAATCAACCCTATGATGTTGATGTTTGCTGGTATGCAACAGCTCATGGGGGGCGGAGAACTTGGAGAAACCTCTAGTGTGCGCAACTTGCAGATCTTCGGCGGGAAGAAACGGCAAAAGACACTCAGCAATGTCGCAGACGCAAGCCTGACAGATCCCAAGGGCTTGCCAGACAAGGCGCAGGTACTTCCAGTGGAAGATGGGCCGGTTGAAGGGCAAGAGGAAGAAGATGAAGAAGACGATACTCAGACTAGTCAGAGCAAGAAGAAAACCATGTCAGGAGGAAAACATGATCGGAAGCCAATGTTTAAGCTTGAGCTTGGCAGTGGCGTGGACCCGAAGGCCACCAAGGAGCCTTCCGACTATGCGAAATTGTTCGCTGCAAGCGTCAAGAGCCGTGAGCGCGCCCGTGCAGTGGTTAAGAGACCTGCAGCATCCCCAGCAGAAGCAGTTGAAAGTCCTCGCAAGAGCATGAAAAAGGCGGAAACTGCTGTGAAGAAGCCACCTGCGCCTAAGAAAAAAGCTGACAAGAAGAAAGCTGCTGCTCCCGCAACAGCAGAGCCTGCGCCCAAGGAGCCGGCCGAGCGCGTGAATCTAGGTCCCAAGCCCCCGCCGCCAGATCCTTGGACTGGGACATTCTACTGGGGGAGTGGGAAAGTGCACAAGAACCCCAAGTCCGCATGCTGGCGGGCATTCGTGCACAAGACAGACAAAAATGATCGAAAGGTGAAGCTTGGAGATGACCTCACTGCATCGTTTCACCGTGCCCTTGAAATCATCGAGGAGGGCATGTCCCAGAGGGGTTTGTGACAATGAGCAATGTATATGAGTGAAAAAACATTCTATACCGCTCAACTTGTCAGGTTAGATTTTTTTCAGCGTGGCACGTCTGAATGAAACTGATCAAGTTGAAGTGCGGGCATCACATTTGCAGTCGTTTTCTCAAAGAGCGCTTTCTGTTGGCTCAGATATTGAAATATGAAGCGGCGTCAATATTAACGCTAAAATTGGGCGTTGAATCATCAGATTATGTTCATGTTTTGACATCAGCGACATCAGCGTTCAGCATTATTCCAAAAGAACCGATGATTCAAATATACACATACGCAATCACCAGCATCAGGCCAATAGTATACATACATAACTACATACATATATATATATATTCCACTGGCTGGGCAGGCGCCTGCTCCCCAGTATTTTTGCATTTTTTCGACATGGCTGTGAACATTGGCAGCCTTGGTCGACACAAAGGGATAAGCCGAAGCGGTTTGAGTACTGTTCTGCAAGAGCTCAAAGATAAGGAGTTCCCAAGTGCGACGTCAAGACAAACGATCAAAAGACGTCGAGACGATGTGGTGGATTTGGACACTCGTTATGGCAGAATTCTGCAATCTTGGCGCACCACACTCTTGCCGGTAGAGCAGAAGAAGACGAAAAAGACTGGCTCGGCGACCAAGCCGAAATCAGAAAAAACCGTTGATTTTCCGTTTGTCCAGCCAATCCCTCTGCTTAGCCACATGTGCATGGAATGCACTGAGTTTTCAGGTTTCATGCTGAAGGTACTGGATCAACATCGGCCAAGCCAGGAGAACCCGCTCAACTTGATTGCGTATTCCGACGCCATCTCACCTGGGAACGTTCTGGCGCACAATCAGGGCCGCAAGGTTGAATGCATTTATTGGTCAATCAAAGAATTTGGCGACTTGGCGCTGACCCTTGAGAAGAATTGGTTTTTGCTTGGCATAGCACGTTGTGACTATGTAAGGCGTTTGCCAGGCAAGATGAGCCAGTATTTCAAAGAGGCATGCGAGCGCTTCTTCAGTCCCCTCGACATGAGGCACGGAGTTCAACTTGCATTCCCTGATGGCACTCGCGTAATGTTATTCTGTGAATTGTCTATAGTGGTCGGCGACGAAGTCGCTCTGAAGGAGGCAATGGAATTTAAAGGGGCCTCCGGCAGTCTACTGTGCCCGATATGCCGGAACGTGGTCGACTGGAAGAGCGAGCTTCACCTGCACTCAACGGAGTTTGTGCCTAGCAATAGGGTTACGCTGAACGGTGTGGACCTCCACTCAGACAAAACTCTTCTGGACACGGTGAAGTACTTAGCGGATTGCAGCCGTGACGACCGGATCACTCCATCTGCATTCAAGAAGCTGCAACAATCATTGGGGTACAACCACAGTCCCGATGGTTTCCTGGGGTCAAGCATCTTGACACTGAGGCCAATATCCAGTATAATGTATGACTGGATGCACACCTACTCGGTGTCTGGCCTCTGGAATGTTGAGTGCGGCGCACTAGTCGCGAGGCTGTCTGCGAGTGGAGTGACACAAGAGACGCTGAACGCCGAGCTGCACCGCTTCACGTGGCCAAAGGCCTATGCTGGCAAAAACACTTCCGGCATAGGCATCTTCGAGAAGCAAGACCAAGATGGAGACATCAAATGCTCGGCCAGTGAATGCTTGTCAATATACAGCGTGATTCGCTTCGTCCTCAAGGAGATGGACCTTCCAGGATTGCGAGAAGAGTGCGCCAGCTATTTCCGCCTTTGCAGAGTTTTGGACTTGCTGGTTCACCAAAAGAAGCACGGGTGGGACGCTGCTGCTCTTCAAGAGGCAATCGAAAACCACTTACGTGGGTACGTTGCTCTCTATGAGCGTTTTCTGCCAAAGCATCATTACTCCCTGCACCTGCCCTCCCAGTGTACCCAGCACGGGACATTAGTCTCGTGCTGGGTGCACGAGCGGAAACACAAGTTCATCAAGCGTCACGCAAACCTTATTTGCAACACATGGGGCCAATTTGAAAGGTCCGTTATAGTGGACGCTATGGGTGACATGTTGGCTGACCTCACAGGGTCTGCGCATGAGCCATATTACGGAGGGCTCTGCTCCCCTTCTCCAGCACCCGCTTCTGCTTGCAGAGAGCTCAGCAAGATTGGTTTCGATGGACCCATGCTTGTGGCTCGCTCGGCGTACTACGCCCCAGGCAGTCGAGCTTGGGCAGGAGATGTGGTTGCGTTGGTCGATGACATGGGTGATCGGCAGCATGGGCAGGTCAATTTCTTTGCCAAGTGCGGCGATTGCAATCTTTGTTGTGTGACACATTGGGTGGCACAGGGTGGAAACAAGTTTCGCAAAGGGCCAGATTCGTTCGTGGCAGATCTCTCTTACATAGTGGATGTTTGCATCCACTGTGATGCTGACCCCGGCATGGCCAAAATTGTGCCGTGCACGACGTGGTTGTGAGAAAATATGTGTTTGCTTCGGTTCAATTCAGTTCATTTTTGTGAACTTTGCAAATGAAGAGACTCGCTTCAACGCGTCGTTGATTGTATATTTGGTTGTTTGTTAGCGTTGTTTGGTTGGTTGCTTGTCTTGTCGATCTTGGATTGTTTTGCGTTGTTTGGTTTTATGGTGTTTGGTCTTTATGTGTTTTTCTTTGAAAAGTATATAAAGGCAACCTCTGTCAACAAACGCAACAAACGGAACCGCTACAAAATGGAGCGAAGGCAAGATCGTACGCACTTTTAACCTTGCAACATTAATTTGCCCCGCGTACTTGTCCTACTTAGCGGCCTACTTACTAAGTTCGTCGCGGTGAATTTGGCATACTTACGCATTCAGGCCAACCTACTTACTAAGTACGTTCCGGCGCACATAGCCAGCTTAGGCAAATAAGCCATCCTACTTACTATGTAGGCCACGGCCTACATACTATGTTCGCCGCGGCCTACATAGTAAGTTGACCCGTAACTTGGTTATAAGTTCACCTCCTAAGTTTGGTAAGTAAGATAGTAAGTTGTTATAAGTTGGTGTATCTAGATAGTAACCAGGCCGGTCATCCAAGTATTCTGTTGCAGACCGCCATCCTGCAGGCTGACCTGGAATCCCCGTCGACTGACCTGGTGACCTCTTCGACCAGGGTCCCGTCCTCGGCCGAGACTGATCAGACGCCTTCTATTTCATGGCCGCGTCACCTTTGCTCACAAAGCTTCAAGTCCAGATTGCAGTTGACAGCACATCTTCAAGAACATCAACAGCAGTTGCATCGATATGACCCCAAAAGGGACTCAGTTGAAGGTGAACCTGCATGCTCCCATTGCGGTCTTCTGGTGACCTCCATGGATGCACTCCGCTACCATATCACGAAGGGGCATTGCAAACACTTTGATCCTCGCAAACAAGTCCCAGAAGTTGCCATCAGCCATGAACTCAAGGCTGCCATGCTGACTGGACGACTTGGTCCCTATCTTCGTGAAGCAGGCGCTCGGACCTTTTTGACTGTGCATGCTTGTGTTGTGGCCGAACATTCTCGGGAGCACGTGAGCTCTCCCGCCATTTGCAAGAAAGGCGCTCCATCCTGTGGAATGATGCTCTTCATCTTGGCCTCAGCCGCAAGCAAGTCATTAGCCCATTGACGGGATGCATTTGCACTCCAGCAGTGGCATCTATGACCTCCCGACATGAATGTGTTGGTCTTCGGCAGATAGCCATGACCCATCTTCGACTACATGATGAAATCCTAGTTCCGTGGGTCTTTGATTCGGAAATGCTGCACCAGCTGCTTCGCCCAGGCGTTCTACCACTTGAACTGGTCAACCTCGTGCACTCCTGGCTGATTGATCGGAAATTTCAGAAGTTATGGCAGTGCAATGAATCGATTCAGATCTTGAGCTCCAACTGCTTCATGTGTGATTTTCGTGGTCATGGAACTGATCTGCAAATTCACCTTCTTGTTGAGCATCACTGCCAAGAACGAGGGTTGATGATGTTTGTTCAGCAGATTCTTCGTATGTTGCCTGCACCCTCTGACTCAACCTTGGGCTGTCTCTTTTGTGGCATGGCTCGAGATGACTTACGGGCTCATTTGATTGCATGCCCCACGCTGATCCAGATCTCCTCGTTGATCGCCCTTCCAATTCATGAACGATTTTGGCTTGGGATCCATGGAGGACGCTTTCACGGAGCAGTCATTGGCGGCGCTCCAAGGTTGGGGCCTGTCGGAAGCGGGTGCAAAAGATCAGGATCCATCCAAGAGGGCCAGACTAGGTCCAAGCAAGCGCGATCGACAGACTGTGGACCGGGAACCCCCTCTACGAGATCTCATTCGAGCTATGGGTCAGCTGATGCTACGGCGCGACCAGGACCTCCAAGCGACTGCACAGCAGGATACATTCATTCTCTTCTTGGTTCCAAGCCCAGAGGGCAGCATTCCACTCCTCCGGGCGGCCCATCGCCAATGGACGGACCTCAAGGAGAAGACCACCACTCTAAGATCTCACCTGATCTTGGCTCTGCTGCGAGAGTTGCAACGACGGCTCCTGAAGTTGATGGCCTGCAACGATCAGGACCCTCTGAAGGTCACCATGGTAAAGAATGGCATCCTGTTGGAGGATCAGACTTGGCCGTACACTCAGTGGGACTCGGCCAGCAAGAAGCTCATCCTGTCCAAAACGAAGACGCCCATGTCCATGACCGTGGCACAAGAACTCCTGGAAGGGCTCCTCACCTTGGTCAAGGAGGACGGGGCGATCCAGAAATTTCATTCCTTGAGTCGTCAGGAGGCCACCAAGAGCCAACCCTGGAAGCTTCAGGTGGGGTTACGCAACGATCGCCTCCACAAGCTCTTGAGCTCGAGCTGTCACCTCAGCCTGTGGCAAATTGCGGGCATTCAGATGAAGCCTCATACACTGAAGGTATCACCCCTGGCCGTGAAGGTCAAGGACATGCTACAACAGCTTTGATGGAAGCTGACCGCAGTCAGCTGGCACGCATTGTTGCCGGATGGGAGTTGCAGAACCC